ACTACACCACCACTAGACCACCACCACCACTACACCACTACACCACCACCGCCACCACCACCACCGCCACCACCACTACACCACCACCACCACCACTACACCACCGCTACACCACCACCACCACTACACCACCACCACTACACCACTACACCACCACCGCCACCACCACCACTACACCAACACCACCACTACACCACCACCACTACACCACCGCTACACCAGCTACTCGTTTGAGGCTGAGTCGACCTAGGGGAGGCCCAGGACCGGTTCAGATCCAGCAGGTGCCATGGGTTGACTGCTGCTGTGCCAGGCTAGGTGCATGAAGAGGAGGTCACGGGACAGACCCTGCAGGTGCCATGGGTTGCCTGCTGCTGTGCCAGGCTAGGTGCATGAGGGGGAGGTCACGGGACAGACCCAGCAGGTGCCATGGGTTGACTGCTGTGCCAGGCTAGGTGCATGAGGAGGAGGAGGTCGCGGGACAGAGCCTGCAGGTGCCATGGGTTTACTGCTGCTGTGCCAGGCTAGGTGCATGCTGTTAGCCCCCCCCCCCACTCCCTAATGTGCCTTCTTTGCCGCGTTTTATCCGCCCGGCGCTCCGCTCGTTGTTGTGAGACTTCGCTATCTCTGCCCCAACGTTTCTTTAAATCCTCATAATCAACGACGATCGAAATTCTCTATCATTCACAATCATTAATTACTCATCAAACAAATGTTTTTTTTCCCCCGTCTCACCGCCCCCGTTGCAGCTGGTTCGATCCCCTGAACCGGTCCCGAGGCCTCCCCTAGGTCGACTCAGCCTCAAATCAGTTACCTGGCGTAGCGGTGTTTGTGTTGGTAAAAATATCAGCCGCACGTGCGCTCCACACAGACGCGGAAGTCTTCATCTCTGCTATACTAGCTCGCAGACCCTTGCCCCAACAGTCTGTTGAAGGCTACAGAGAGAGGGAGAGGGATCGTTATCTTTGTGTGAAAGCATTTCGTGATTTCACGGATTGGGGACTTTTGTTCGTTCCGAATGAGGCGGTCGGGTTCCTGTGGCAGATCAAATGGGAATGGGACCACGCAGAGAACCATAGACTCACCACACACAGAGACCCATAGACTCACCACACAGAGACACATAGACTCATCACACACAGAAAGCCATAGACTCACCACACACAGAGAGCCATAGACTCATCACACACATAGACCCATAGACTCACCACACAGAGACACATAGACTCATCACACACAGAAAGCCATAGACTCACCACACACAGAAAGCCATAGACTCATCACACACAGAAAGCCATAGACTCATCACACACAGAGACCCATAGACTCACCACACAGAGACACATAGACTCATCACACACAGAAAGCCATAGACTCATCACACACAGAAAGCCATAGACTCATCACAAACAGAGAGCCATAGACTCATCACACACAGAGAGCCATAGACTCATCACACACAGAGACCCATAGACTCACCACACAGAGACCCATAGACTCACCACACACAGAGACCCATAGACTCACCACACACAGAGACCCATAGACTCATCACACACATAGAGCCATAGACTCATCACACACAGAGACCCATAGACTCACCACACACAGAGACCCATAGACTCAGCACACACAGAGAGCCATAGACTCATCACACACAGAGAGCCATAGACTCATCACACACAGAGACCCATAGACTCACCAAACACAGAGACCCATAGACTCATCACACACAGAGAGCCATAGACTCATCACACAGAGACCCATAGACTTACCACACACAGAGACCCATAGACTCATCACACACAGAGACCCATAGACTCACCAAACACAGAAAGCCATAGACTCATCACAAACAGAGAGCCATAGACTCATCACAAACAGAGAGCCATAGACTCATCACACACAGAGACCCATAGACTCATCACACACAGAGACCCATAGACTCATCACACACAGAGACCCATAGACTCATCACACACAGAGACCCATGGACTCACCACACACAGAGAGCCATAGACTCACCACACACAGAGAGCCATAGACTCATCACACACAGAGACCCATAGACTCATCACACACAGAGAGACCCATAGACTCATCACACACAGAGAGACCCATAGACTCATCACACACAGAGACCAATAGACTCACCAAACACAGAGACCCATAGACTCATCACACACAGAGAGCCATAGACTCATCACACAGAGACACATAGACTCATCACACACAGAGACCCATGGACTCACCACACACAGAGACCCATGGACTCACCACACACAGAGTGCCATAGACTCACCAAACACAGAGAGCCATAGACTCATCACACACAGAGACCCATAGACTCATCACACACAGAGACCCATAGACTCATCACACACAGAGAGACCCATAGACTCATCACACACAGAGACCCATGGACTGAACACACACAGAGAACCATAGACTCATCACACACAGAGACCCATAGACTCACCACACACAGAGACCCATAGACTCATCACACACAGAGACCCATAGACTCACCACACACAGAGAGACCCATAGACTCATCACACACAGAGACCCATAGACTCACCACACAGAGACCCATAGACTCACCACACAGAGACCCATGGACTCACCACACAGAGACCCATAGACTCACCACACAGAGACCCACAGACTCACCACACAGAAACCCATAGACTCACCACACACAGAGACCCATAGACTCACCACACAGAGACCCATAGACTCACCACACAGAGACCCACAGACTCATCACACATAGACCCATAGACTCACCACACAGAGACCCATAGACTCACCACACAGAGAGACCCATAGACTCACCACACAGAGACGCACAGACTCACCACACAGAGACCCATAGACTCACCACACACAGAGACCCATAGACTCACCACACACAGAGACCCATAGACTCACCACCACACAGAGACACATAGACTCACCACACACGGAGACCCATAGACTCACCACACAGAGACCCATAGACTCACCACACAGAGAGACCCATAGACTCATCACACACAGAGACCCATAGACTCACCACACACAGAGACCCATAGACTCACCACACACAGAGACCCATAGACTCACCACCACACAGAGACCCATAGACTCACCATACATAGACCCACAGACTCATCACACATAGACCCATAGACTCACCACACAGAGACCCGCAGACTCACCACACAGAGACCCATAGACTCACCACACACAGAGACCCATAAACTCACCACACAGAGACCCATAGACTCACCACACACAGAGACACCCATAGACTCACCACACACAGAGACCCATAAACTCACCACACAGAGACCCATAGACTCACCACACACAGAGACACCCATAGACTCACCACCACACAGAGACCCATAGACTCACCACACACAGAGACCCATAGACTCACCACACACAGAGACACCCATAGACTCACCATCACAAACAGAGACCCACAGACTCACCACACAGAGACCCATAGACTCACCACACACAGAGACCCGTAGACTCTCCACACAGAGACCCATAAACTCACCACACAGCGACCCATAGACTCACCACACAGAGGGCCATAGACTCATCATACAGAGACTCACCACTCACAGAGACCCATAAACTCACCACACAGAGACCCATAGACTCACCACACACAGAGACTCACCACACACAGAGACACACAGACTCAGCACACACAGAGACACCCATAGACTCACCACACACAGAGACACCCATAGACTCACCACACACAGAGACACCCATAGACTCACCACACACAGAGACACCCATAGACTCACCACCACACAGAGACACCCATAGACTCACCACACACAGAGACACATAGACTCACCACACAAAGACCCATAGACTCACCACACATAGAGACCCATAGACTCACCACACTGAGGCCCATAGACTCACCACACACAGACCCATAGACTCACCACACACAGAGACCCATAGACTCACCACACACAGAGACCTATATACTGACCACACAGAGACCCATAGACTCACCACACAGAGACTCACCACATACAGAGACCCATAGACTCACCACACACAGAGACCCATAGACTCACCACACACAGAGACCCATAGACTCACGACACACAGAGACCCATAGACTCATCACACAGAGACTCACCACACACAGAGACCCACAGACTCATCACACACAGAGACTCATTGACTCACCACTACACAGAGACACCCATAGACTCACCACACACAGACACCCATAGACTCATAGACTCATCACACAGAGACTCACCACACACAGAGACCCATAGACTCACCACCACACACAGAGACCCATAGACTCACACAGAGACCCATTGCCTCACCACACACAAAGACCCATAGACTCACCACACAGAGATTCATCACACACATTGACCCATAGACTCACCACCACACAGAGACCCATAGACTCACACAGAGACCCATCGACTCACCACCACACAGAGACCCATAGACTCACCACCACACACAGAGACCCTTAGACTCACACAGAGACCCATTGCCTCACCACCACACAGAGACCCATAGACTCACCACCACACAGAGACCCATAGACTCACACAGAGACCCATTGCCTCACCACCATCACCACACAGAGACACCCATAGACTCACCACACACAGAGACCCATAGACTCACCACACAGAGACCCATAGACTTACTACACAGAGACCCATAGACTCATCACACAGAGACCCATAGACTCACCACACAGAGACCCATTGCCTCACCACCACCACCACCACACAGAGTCACCCAGACTCACCACCACACAGAGACCCATTGCCTCACCACCACCACCACACAGAGACCCATAGACTCACCACCACACACAGAGACCCATAGACTCACCACCACACACAGAGACCCATAGACTCACCACTCAGAGACCCATTGCCTCACCACCACCACCACCACCACACAGAGACACCCAGACGCCCGTCGCTTTTGTTTCGTCTCGACAGATCTGCAGGGATGCCGGACAAGGCGAAGCACGGCAAGGCGGAGAAGCACGGCAAGGCGGAGAAGCACGGCAAGGCGGAGAATCCGGGCAAGGCGGAGAAGCCGGACATGACGGAGGTGAAGGAGTTCAAGCGTAGCAGCCTCAAGAAGGCCACAACGGAGATCAAGAACACACTGCCCACACAGTCCGGTAAGTCGCACACATCCGGGGTGGTGGTGGAGGGTGAGTGCGGCGTTGCTGCTGGTGGCGGCGGCGTTCGAGCGCTCGCCGCGGACGAGAGGCTGCCGCTCCACCCGTCGGGAGCTGGACCGGTACCGCGTGGATTATCGGCGGTCATTCAGTGGACCGGCTTCTGGCTCCTGCCACCTTGAGCCACCGTGAGGGGTGGACTAGTCCTCTACTCGGGGCTCGGGGTAGGAGACTGCCAAACAGCAGGGTGTGGTTCGTCTTGTGAACAAAAGAATGAAGGAGGCGTGGGAGCGTGGCGGTGAGGTGTGGGAAGCTGTAAGCCCCCGGGCTACTTTGGGCTCGCCTTCCCATCGACCGGAGGCGAGGAGTGGTGGTCATGGTTACTTATGCCCCCACCGAAGACGAACATCCGTGGAGGGATGCAGGCAAAGCCGATGAGTCAGATGCCTTCTATGATCTCCTGTCACAGGTGCTGGCTAAAGTGGCCCCTCAGGATAGAGTCATCTTGTTGGGTGACTTCAATGCCCGAGTTGGTCATGATGCTGGCACCTGGTCTGGGTGATTGGAGGGCATGGGCCAGATCAGCTCAATAACAATGGTAGGAGGCTGTTAGATTTTTGTGCAGCCCATGGGCTTTTAATTACCAACACGCTGTTCCGGCATTGGCGCATCCACACAATATCGTGGATGCACGCCGGGTCCAAGCTGGACTACATAGTGACGGACCAGCGGATGCAGGCCCATGTCCTTGACACCAGGACCTACCGTGGAGCTGATCTGCCCACTGACTATCGACTAGTCATCTGTAAGATGCGCCTTCCATTCTTCCGCTCCGGTGGTAGGTGTACACCCAGGACCCCATTCAAACCCACAGTGGTCTGAGCTCAGCTAGCTGATTGAAGTTGCAAGTGAGAATTTCATCATCGCTTGCGGCTGGGGTTGGCATCGTTCCCCACTCCTCCTGATGTCGAGGGGAAATGGGCGAGGTTTAGGACTGTGACTCATGCAGCTGCAATGGCTGCTTTGGGTACATAGTCCAGACCTCCCCAGAGACCCTGGCTGACGGAGGAGGTGTTCAGGCTGGCTGAGAAAAAGCGACAGGCCCACTCTTATCGACTACAGCATCCCACGTCAGAGAATGAGGAGGCTTACCGCAGCCTTCGCTCGGAGGTTCGGAGAGCCGTGAGGCACTGCAAGGATGGGTGGTGGTCGCGGGTTGCTGAGGAGATGGAGTTTTGCTCAGTGGCCCGCGATCACAAATCCCTGCTTAACTCCATCAAAAAAGTAACCTGCAGCGCCACACCTATTACCATCATTAGGGGAAAAAGCAGTGATCCGATCTCCGACCCCCAGGAAAAAAGGATTTTCAGATTTGCTGAGCATTTCTGTGAGGTCTTGGGGGAGGGGAAATCCCTCAGCCTAGAAACGTCATGGGGCAAAGTGGGGATGACCCTGCTGAGGCTGCGGTGCCTCAAATATTGGAAGAAGAAGTCACCCCCTGTGAGTGGCTGGCTGAGATGCCATCTTTTGAGGAAGGACAAAAGGCCATCCAGAGTCTGAGAGAGATTATATCCCAAATGAAATGTTGAGGGAGGGTGGCGTTTGTGCACAGACTGCCCTACATGACATCATAACAACAGTCTGGACCACTGGACGGGTTCCGCAGGATTGGAAGGATGCCCTGGTGGTTCCCCTCTTTAAGAAGGGGGACCGCACAGACTGTAACAACTACAGGGGCATCTCACTCTTCAGTGTGCCGGGAAAGGTCCTGGCAAGGATTATTCAACATCGCCTTGCCAGGCACGCTGAGGAGAGGCTTGCGGAGCCCCAATGCGGTTTCAGGAAAGGGCGGTCCTGCACAGATGCCATATTTTCTGTCCGTCTGCTACAGCAGAGGGGTAGGGAATTCCAGCAAGACCTACATCTCTGCTTTATTGACCTGGTCAAGCCCGATGATACCATCAGTAGGCCTGGGCTCTGGGTTGTTCTTCGTGCTTTCGGAGTTCCTGACCATCTGCTCACGATCATTAAGGACCTTCATGATGGTGAGCGTGCCCGGGTAAAACTACGTGGCCGGGAGTCACAGCCATTCCCTGTACACCTTGGGGTGCGACAGGGATGTCCTCTGGTTCCCACATTACTTAACATATTTTTCGACCACGTAGTTTGTGATGTCTTCGATGGCTGTTCCGGAGGAATTTCATCTGGTACAAAGACAATGGGAGGCTGATTGATGCCTGTGGGTGCGGTCAAGGGATGGCTCCCTGTTGCTTAACCACGTTATGTATGCCGATGATCTGGTGATTGCTGCTCGCTCAGATGAGGAGTTGGAGGCACTGCTATTGTCTAGTGTAGTGTATTGAAGTGTGGTTTATAGAAGTATAGTGTAGTGTATGGTGTAGTAGTTAGCATACCAGTCAACCCATAGAGTTTACCCATACGATGTGTTTGTGTGTCTCCCTTGTGATGGGACTTTGTAGGATGAACGTTGAGATTAATAAGGGGCACAGGGTGACCGATACGGTCTGAGTTGGTCTGTAATAAGGTAGGGCCACTGGCATGATTTAGTGTAGTGTATAGTGTAGTGTATAGTGTAGCGTGTAGTGTATAGTGCATAGTGTAGTGTGTAGTGTAGTGTATAGTGTAGTGTGTAGTGTATAGTGTGTAGCATATAGTGTAGTGTATAGTGTAGTGTATAGTGTGTAGTGTATAGTGTATAGTGTAGAGTCTATAGTGTAGTGTATAGTGTAGTGTAGTGTGTAGTATAGTGTGTAGTGTATAGTGTAGTGTATAGTGTGTAGCGTATAGTGTAGTGTATAGTGTAGTGTGTAGTGTAGTGTGTAGTGTAATATGTAGTGTATAGTGTAGTGTATAGTGTAGTGTATAGTAGTATAGTGTAGTGTATAGTGTAGTGTATAGTGTAGTGTATAGTGTAGTATATAGTGTAGTGTATAGTGTAGTGTGTAGTGTGTAGTGTGTCGTGTAGTGTGTAGTGTATAGTGTAGTGTATAGTGTAGTGTATAGTGTAGTGTATAGTGTAGTGTATAGTAGTGTCTAGTGTAGTGTATAGTGTAGTGTATAGTGTAGTGTATAGTGTAGTGTATAGTGTAGTGTATAGTAGTGTATAGTGTAGTGTATAGTGTAGTGTATAGTGTAGTGTAGTGTATAGTGTAGTGTAGTGTATAGTAGTGTATAGTAGTGTAGTGTATAGTGTAGTGTATAGTGTAGTGTATAGTGTAGTGTATAGTGTAGTGTATAGCAAGGTAGGGGCAGTGGTACGAGTTTCACAGGTTTGCGTTTCCAATGGCCTCGTCGCTTACCAGTACTCCACCGAGCCACGTAGCTCCGCTGTGCGGAGACTGTGCAGCCCCGGGTAAAATAAAAACAGAGTTTAACAATACATCTTCCCGTCTCGGGTGTGGACCAATCAAATTCAAGGACAGTGCCAATATTATTATTATTATCAGAGTTGTCTCTTTTGTTTGCATTTTGACTGCTTTGTGTTGTGGTCATTGCAAACACGATGCCCTTGATTAAAGGTGTCAGCTTTTGTGTGCCAGTTAAAAAGGGTAAAAACCTATTCCAATATATTTTCCTGCTGCGGCTATCACACCTGATGATGATGATTGCTTGCGTGAGTGAGGGAGTGAGTGTGTGTGTGAACCAGGAATAAGCTGAACGATAGTTTGTCACGTCGGAGGATTTCGCGACCAATTTCATTCGCGATGAACGTTGCTTTGCGTTGTCCACGAGTGCGTCGTAAGCATCCACCAGCCGACAAGGCCAGTCAGAAATCGACGCGTCGCTTTGACAAAATAGCTCGCTGCTTTAGCCCCCCGGCGGGAAATTGCCCGATGATGGCTGGGGTTGTAATTGCCAGCGAAACGTCGAACTGCTCAAAAAAATTTAATTTTTATTTGAAGCTTTTCGTGAATGCAGCGATTCGTATTGTTGGTTCTTTCGGTAAAGTCACCACCGCGTAGATAGGGGAAACAATAAAATAATAAAAAAATATAAAACAATAAAATTATTGTAAAACAATAAAATTATTGTAAAACAATAAAATTATTATTCTTGGTTCTTTCGGTAAAGTCACCACCACGTAGATATGGGAAACAATAAAATAATAAAAATATAAAACAATAAAATTATTGTTAAAACAATAAAATTATTATTCTTGGTTCTTTCGGTAAAGTCACCACCACGTAGAAGGGAAACAACAAAATAATAAAAATATAAATCAATAAAATTATTGTAAAACAATAAAATTATTATTCTTGGTTCTTTCGGTAAAGTCACCACCACGTAGATAGGGGAAACAATAAAATAATAAAAATATAAAACAATTAAATTATTATTCTTGGTTCTTTCGGTAAAGTCACCACCGCGTAGATAGGGGAAACAATAAAATAATAAAAATATAAAACAATAAAATTATTGTAAAACAATAAAATTATTATTCTTGGTTCTTTCGGTAAAGTCACCACCACGTAGATAGGGGAAACAATAAAATAATACAAAATATAAAACGATAAAATTATTGTAAAACAATAAAATTATTATTCTTGGTTCTTTCGGTAAAGTCACCACCGCGTAGAAGGGAAACAATAAAATAATAAAAATATAAAACAATAAAATTATTGTAAAACAATAAAATTATTATTATTGGTTCTTTCGGTAAAGTCACCACCACGTAGAAGGGAAACAATAAAATAATAAAAATATAAAACAATAAAATTATTGTAAAACAATAAAATTATTATTCTTGGTTCTTTCGGTAAAGTCACCACCACGTAGATAGGGAAACAATAAAATAATACAAAATATAAAACAATAAAATAATAAGTGAGAATTTTTAATTGTTTTATATATATTTTATTATTTTGTTGTTTCCCTTCAACGTGACTTTACCGAAAAAACTAAGAATATGAATTACTGCAGTCACGAAAGCTTTAAATCAAAATAAAATTATTGTAAAATAATAAAATTAGTATTCTTGGTTCTTTCGGTAAAGTCACCACCACGTAGATAGGGAAACAATAAAATAATAAAAATATAAAAACAATAAAATTATTGTAAAACAATAAAATTATTATTCTTGGTTCTTTCGGTAAAGTCACCACCACGTAGAAAGGGAAACAATAAAATAATAAAAATATAAAACAATAAAATTATTGTAAAACAATAAAATTATTATTCTTGGTTCTTTCGGTAAAGTCACCACCACGTAGATAGGGAAACAATAAAAAAATACAAAATATAAAACAATAAAATTATTGTAAAACAATAAAATTATTATTCTTGGTTCTTTGGGTAAAGTCACCACATAGAAGGAAAACAATAAAATAATAAAAATATAAAACAATAAAATTATTGTAAAACAATAAAATTATTATTCTTGGTTCTTTGGGTAAAGTCACCACCGCGTAGATAGGGAAACAATAAAATAATAAAAATATAAAACAATAAAATTATTGTAAAACAATAAAATTATTATTCTTGGTTCTTTGGGTAAAGTCACCACCACGTAGATAGGGAAACAATAAAATAATAAAAATATAAAACAATAAAATTATTGTAAAACAATAAAATTATTATTCTTGGTTCTTTGGGTAAAGTCACCACCACGTAGATAGGGAAACAATAAAATAATAAAAATCTAAAACAATAAAATTATTGTAAAACAATAAAATTATTATTCTTGGTTCTTTCGGTAAAGTCACCACCACATAGATAGGGGAAACAATAAAATAATAAAAATCTAAAACAATAAAATTATTGTAAAACAATAAAATTATTATTCTTGGTTCTTTCGGTAAAGTCACCACCACGTAGATAGGGAAACAATAAAATAATAAAAATATAAAACAATAAAATTATTATTCTTGGTTCTTTCGGTAAAGTCACCACCGCGTAGAAGGGAAACAATAAAATAATAAAAATATAAAACAATAAAATTATTGTAAAACAATAAAATTATTATTCTTGGTTCTTTCGGTAAAGTCACCACCACGTAGATAGGGAAACAATAAAATAATAAAAATATAAAACATTAAAATTCTCACACGACGTTTCGACTGCAACACAAGCAGCAATCATCATCAGGTAGTGAAAGCCACAGCAAGAAAATTAGAAAATTTAAAAAAAACGCCACTTTTAAAAAAATAATTTTGCTGTGGTTTTCACACCTGATGATGATTGCTTGTGTTGCAGTCGAAACGTCGTGTGAGAATTTTATTGTTTAATATTTCTATTAGTTTATTGTTTCCCTATCTACGTTGTGGTGACTTTACCGAAAGAACCAAGAATGCTCAAAAATTGTGCACGTTGCGGATTCACTCTTCAACACACCGCCGGCGGGCTAAAGCAGCGAACCATTTCGTCTTTTTAACACGTAGCAGCAGGCTTTCGCGACCAATATTATTCACAATAAAGGTTTTTGTTTTTTTTCGGTTAGATCGCGCTATTTATAAATAACGAGATCTAAGCCAAGAAACTTTTTTTTTATGAATGTTTTGTCAACGCGACACTTTTTTTTGTAAAAACTGATTTCACCTTGTCGGGTGGTGGAGGGTTCACGACACATTTATAAATAACGTGCGAGCTAACCCCCCCCCCTCCCTCCCACACCCCCCACCAATAAAAAATCCCGTGTTCATCATGAAGTTTAACAATAGTCGAAACTAAATTTAGATTTAAAGCTTTTCGCGACTGCGGTGTTCGAATTCTTGGTCCTTTCGGTAAAGTCACCGCCGCGTAGATAGGAGAAGCAATAACATCACAAAAAATTATGTATTTATTGCCTTACGTATATATATATATATTTTAATTATAATTTTTCTTTGTTTCCCTCCAACGCGACTTTACCGAAAGATCTTCTTTGGTTCTTTCGGTAAAGTCACCACCACGTAGAATGAGAATAAAATAATAAATTGATCAAATAAAATAACATAACACAATAATATTCTCACGACGTTTCGGCGACAACACAAGCGGCCTTCATCAGGTGAAGGGACGAGACTCTGTGGTAGGACAGACAGACTGGTAGGACAGACAGTCTCGTCCCTTCACCTGATGAAGGCCGCTTGTGTTGTGGCCGAAACGTCGTGTTAGAATATTATCGTGTTATTTTATTTTATCAATTTATTATTTTATTCTCACTCTACGTGGTGGTGACTTTACCGAAAGAACCAAAGAAGATGAATCATTGCAGTCACGAAAGCTTCAAATCGAAATTTTACCGAAAGAACCAAGGATAATAGTCGAAGCTATCCGCTTGTCCTCACTGCTGTTGCTGTCCCTCCGCCCGTCCTTCTTTGTGGCTCTCCACCCCCTTCTCGCCCCCTTCCCGCAGTGATCGAACAGGAGAGGAAACTCTCCCAGACCGAGGCGGACTGAGGCACGGTGCGGTGCGCTGCCGTTTGGAGGAGGTGGTGGTGGGTGGGGGGGGGGAGGGGGCGGTGGTTGGCCCTCACGATGAGGGTGGGTTACGGGGGGGGTCCCGAAGGCAAGGCACGAAAAAAGATGAATTTCGATCCGAAGCTTTCGTGGCTGCGAGGATTCATCTTCTTCGGCAAAGTCACCACACGTAGAACGAGAGTAAAACAATAAACTAAAACGATAAAATTCTCGCGACGTTTCGGCCACCACGACAACGCAAGCGGCCTTCCTCAGGTGAAAGGAACAGTCCTGTCGGGACGACGGAGCTGCAACGGACAGCTGCTAAGCTTCGATCAGCGTCTTTTAAGCCGGTCGAGAGAGAGGCGAGGCACCTTGACGAAAGGCGCTTACACATCAGACGGGAGAATCTTGGCGGCGTTCACTGTAGCTCCGTCGCCCCGGCAGGTCTGTTCCGTTCGCCTGAGGAAGGCCGCTTGTGTTGTGGTGGCCGAAACGTCGCGAGAATTGTATTGCTCTACTTTATCATTTTGTTCCCATTCTACGTGGTGGTGGTGGTGGTGGTGGTGGCGACCTTTGCCGAAAGAACCAAGGCACGAAAGAAATCACGAAAAGCGTTCTACGTTACATCGTCCCCCTCCCCCGCCGCCCCGCCCCGCCCCCTTTGCTGTCCTCATTTTCGTCGCTTCACATTTGTTTGGGGAGGGAAAGGTTTCGGTTTAGAGAGTAGCTACGGTGGACACAAAAGCTGCATTTCGCTCCGGTGTAGGGGGAAAGCCTGTGTTGTAGGCCGCATCAGGGCCTACAATTGCAGGCTTCTTTGTCACGACACGCCCCCCCCCACCCACCCCACCCCACTCCACTCCACTCTCCACCCTCCCCGTTAGTTTCTCCGCCTGATTATTTTTTTACGTTTGGGTAGGGAAGGGTTTCGGTTTAGAGAGTAGCTACGGTGGACACAAAAGCTGCATTTCGCTCCGGTGTAGGGGGAAAGCCTGTGTTGTAGGCCGCATCAGGGCCTACAATTGCAGGCTTCTTTGTCACGACACGCCCCCCCCACCCCACTCCACTCCACTCTCCACCCTCCCCGTTAGTTTCTCCGCCTGATTATTTTTTACGTTAATTTTTTTTTGCTTTGGTTATCGTCGCCTCTTAGGCCAGTCGTTTCAGCTGCTGCACGTGAGTGAGCTCGCCTGTGTAGCTTGCTCTGCCGCTCAATAATAATAAAGCCTGCCACTCTTAACGCCCGTGCACGTCTCAAATTCTGGTGGCAGCGGTGGGCAGCGGTGTGGTGGGTGAGTGAGTGTGTGGGTGAGTGTGTGGGTGGGTGAGTGAGTGGGTGGGTGAGTGAGTGAGTGGGTGAGTGGGTGAGTGTGTGGGTGGGTGAGTGTGTGAGTGAGTGAGTGTGTGGGTGAGTGTGTGAGTGTGTGGGTGGGTGAGTGAGTGTGTGGGTGTGTGGGTGGGTGAGTGTGTGGGTGGGTGTGTGGATGGGTGGGTGAGTGTGTGGGTGGGTGGGTGAGTGAGTGGGTGAGTGAGTGGGTGGGTGAGTGAGTGAGTGAGTGTGTGGGTGAGTGTGTGGGTGAGTGGGTGAGTGAGTGTGTGGGTGAGTGTGTGAGTGTGTGGGTGAGTGAGTGAGTGTGTGGGTGAGTGTGTGGGTGGGTGGGTGAGTGAGTGTGTGGGTGAGTGTGTGAGTGTGTGGGTGGGTGAGTGTGTGGGTGAGTGTGTGGGTGGGTGTGTGAGTGAGTGTGTGAGTGCGTGGGTGGGTGAGTGAGTGTGTGAGTGAGTGTGTGGGTGAGTGTGTGAGTGAGTGTGTGGGTGAGTGTGTGGGTGAGTGTGTAAGTCGGTGGGTGTGTGTGTGAGTTAGTGAGTGTGTGGGTGAGTGTGTGGGTGAGTGAGTGTGTGGGTGAGTGTGTGGGTGGGTGAGTGAGTGGGTGAGTGAGTGAGTGTGTAGGTGAGTGTGTGAGTGATTGTGTGAGTGAGTGTGTGGGTGAGTGTGTGAGTGAGTGAGTGTGTGAGTGGGTTAGTGAGTGAGTGTGTGGGTGAGTGTGTGGGTGAGTGTGTGGATGAGTGGGTGAGTGAGTGTGTGAGTGTGTGAGTGAGTGGGTGGGTGAGTGTGTGAGTGAGTGTGTGGGTGAGTGTGTAAGTGAGTGTGTGGGTGAGTGTGTGGGTGAGTGAGTGAGTGTGTAGGTGAGTGTGTGAGTGAGTGTGTGAGTGAGTGTGTGGGTGAGTGTGTGAGTGAGTGTGTGGGTGAGTGAGTGTGTGGGTGAGTGTGTGGGTGGGTGAGTGTGTGGGTGAGTGTGTGAGTGAGTGTGTGTGTGAGTGTGTGTGTGAGTGAGTGTGTGGGTGAGTGTGTGAGTGACTGTCTGAGTGAGTGTGTGACTGTGTGTGTGAGTGTGTGAGTGAGTGTGTGGGTGAGTGTGTGAGTGAGTGTGTGGGTGAGTGAGTGTGTGAGTGTGTGAGTGAGTGTGTGGGTAACTGGGTGAGTGAGTGTGTGGGTGAGTGTGTGGGTGGGTGAGTGTGTGGGTGAGTGTGTGAGTGAGTGTGTGTGTGAGTGTGTGTGTGAGTGAGTGTGTGGGTGAGTGTGTGAGTGACTGTCTGAGTGAGTGTGTGACTGTGTGTGTGAGTGTGTGAGTGAGTGTGTGGGTGAGTGTGTGAGTGAGTGTGTGGGTGAGTGAGTGAGTGTGTGAGTGTGTGAGTGAGTGTGTGGGTAACTGTGTGAGTGAGTGTGTGAGTGACCGTGTGAGTGAGTGTGTGAGTGTGTGGCTGGGTGAGTGAGTGTGTGAGTGAGTGTGTGGGTGAGTGTGTGAGTGAGTGTGCGGGTGAGTGTGTGGGTGAGTGTGTAAGTCGGTGGGTGTGTGTGTGAGTTAGTGAGTGTGTGGGTGGGTGTGTGGGTGAGTGAGTGAGCGAGTGTGTGGGTGTGTGGGTGGGTGAGTGAGTGGGTGAGTGTGTGGGTGGGTGGGTGAGTGTGTGGGTGAGTGTGTGGGTGAGTGAGTGAGTGTGTGGGTGTGTGGGTGAGTGAGTGAGTGAGTGTGTGGGTGTGTGTGGGTGAGTGTGTGAGTGAGTGTGTGGGTGAGTGTGTGGGTGAGTGTGTGTGTGGGTGTGTGTGGGTGTGTGAGTGAGTGTGTGAGTGAGTGTGTGGGTGAGTGTGTGGGTGGGTGAGTGAGTGAGTGGGTGAGTGAGTGAGTGTGTAGGTGAGTGTGTGAGTGAGTGTGTGGGTGAGTGTGTGAGTGAGTGAGTGTGTGAGTGGGTGAGTGAGTGAGTGTGTGGGTGAGTGTGTGGGTGAGTGTGTGGATGAGTGGGTGAGTGAGTGTGTGAGTGTGTGAGTGAGTGGGTGGGTGAGTGTGTGAGTGAGTGTGTGGGTGAGTGTGTGGGTGAGTGGGTGAGTGAGTGGGTGAGTGAGTGAGTGTGTGAGTGAGTGTGTGGGTGAGTGTGTGGGTGGGTGAATGTGTGGGTGAGTGTGTGGGTGGGTGAGTGTGTGGGTGAGTGAGTGTGTGGGTGAGTGTGTGTGTGAGTGAGTGTGTGAGTGAGTGTGTGGGTGAGTGAGTGTGTGGGTGAGTGTGTGGGTGAGTGTGTGGGTGAGTGTGTGAGTGAGTGTGTGTGTGAGTGTGTGTGTGAGTGAGTGTGTGGGTGAGTGTGTGAGTGACTGTGTGAGTGAGTGTGTGAGTGACTGTGTGTGTGAGTGAGTGTGTGGGTGAGTGTGTGAGTGAGTGTGTGAGTGAGTGAGTGTGTGGGTGACTGTGTGAGTGAGTGTGTGAGTGACCGTGTGAGTGAGTGTGTGAGTGACCCTGTGAGTGAGTGTGTGGGTGAGTGTGTGGGTGACTGAGTGGGTGAGTGTGTGAGTGACTGTGTGAGTGAAGGAGTGTGTGAGTGATTGTGATTGAATGTGTGCGTGAGTGAATGTGTGAGTGAATGTGTGAGTGTGTGAGTGAGTGGCTGTGAGTGAATGTGTGAATTATTGCGAGTGATTGTGAGTGAATGAGTAAATGTGTGAATCTGTGAGTGAGATGTGTGAATGTGCGAGTGAATGCGTGAATTTGTGAATCTATGAGTGAATGTGTGAGTGTGTGAGTGAGTGGCTGTGAGTGAATGTGTGAATTATTGCGAGTGATTGTGAGTCAATGAGTAAATGTGTGAATCTGTGAGTGAGATGTGTGAATGTGCGAGTGAATGTGTGAATTTGTGAATCTATGAGTGAATGTGTGAGTGTGTGAGTGAGTGGCTGTGAGTGAATGTGTGAATTATTGCGAGTGATTGTGAGTGAATGAGTAAATGTGTGAATCTGTGAGTGAGATGTGTGAATGTGCGAGTGAATGTGTGAATTTGTGAATCTATGAGTGAATGTGTGAGTGTGTGAGTGAGTGGCTGTGAGTGAATGTGTGAATTATTGCGAGTGATTGTGAGTGAATGAGCAGATGTGTGAATCTGTGAGTGAGATGTGTGAATGTGCGAGTGAATGTGCGAGTGAATGTGTGAATTTGTGAATCTATGAGTGAATGTGTGAGTGTGTGAGTGAGTGGCTGTGAGTGAATGTGTGAATTATTGCGAGTGATTGTGAGTGAATGAGCAAATGTGTGAATCTGTGAGTGAGATGTGTGAATGTGCGAGTGAATGTGTGAATTTGTGAATCTATGAGTGAATGTGTGAGTGTGTGAGTGAGTGGCTGTGAGTGAATGTGTGAATTATTGCGAGTGATTGTGAATGAATGAGCAAATGTGTGAATCTGTGAGTGAGATGTGTGAATGTGCGAGTGAATGTGTGAATTTGTGAATCTATGAGTGAATGTGTGAGTGTGTGAGTGAGTGGCTGTGAGTGAATGTGTGAATTATTGCGAGTGATTGTGAGTGAATGAGTAGATGTGTGAATCTGTGAGTGAGATGTGTGAATGTGCGAGTGAATGCGTGAATTTGTGAATCTATGAGTGAATGTGTGAGTGTGTGAGTGAGTGGCTGTGAGTGAATGTGTGAATTATTGCGAGTGATTGTGAGTCAATGAGTAAATGTGTGAATCTGTGAGTGAGATGTGTGAATGTGCGAGTGAATGTGTGAATTTGTGAATCTATGAGTGAATGTGTGAGTGTGTGAGTGAGTGGCTGTGAGTGAATGTGTGAATTATTGCGAGTGATTGTGAGTGAATGAGTAAATGTGTGAATCTGTGAGTGAGATGTGTGAATGTGCGAGTGAATGTGTGAATTTGTGAATCTATGAGTGAATGTGTGAGTGTGTGAGTGAGTGGCTGTGAGTGAATGTGTGAATTATTGCGAGTGATTGTGAGTGAATGAGCAGATGTGTGAATCTGTGAGTGAGATGTGTGAATGTGCGAGTGAATGTGCGAGTGAATGTGTGAATTTGTGAATCTATGAGTGAATGTGTGAGTGTGTGAGTGAGTGGCTGTGAGTGAATGTGTGAATTATTGCGAGTGATTGTGAGTGAATGAGCAAATGTGTGAATCTGTGAGTGAGATGTGTGAATGTGCGAGTGAATGTGTGAATTTGTGAATCTATGAGTGAATGTGTGAGTGTGTGAGTGAGTGGCTGTGAGTGAATGTGTGAATTATTGCGAGTGATTGTGAATGAATGAGGAAATGTGTGAATCTGTGAGTGAGATGTGTGAATGTGCGAGTGAATGTGTGAATTTGTGAATCTATGAGTGAATGTGTGAGTGTGTGAGTGAGTGGCTGTGAGTGAATGTGTGAATTATTGCGAGTGATTGTGAGTGAATGAGTAGATGTGTGAATCTGTGAGTGAGATGTGTGAATGTGCGAGTGAATGTGTGAATTTGTGAATCTATGAGTGAATGTGTGAGTGTGTGAGTGAGTGGCTGTGAGTGAATGTGTTAGTGCACGCGTAGGGGCGTGTATGGGGTTAGATCTCGTTATTTATAAATGTGTCGTAACCTTCCACCACCCGACGCGGACCAATCAGCAAAAAAAAGTGTCACGTTGACAAAAAAGACAAAATTAGTTCACTACTTTAGCCCCAACACCGGTGTGTTGTTGAAAAGTGACTCCACAACATTTTACAGTTATTGAGTACGACGTTTCGCTGGCAATTACACCCTCAGCATCATTGGGCAATTCGCCAGATTCTTAAAGCCCTCTCCACTCGCTCCCGGTCTTAAAATACAGCAGCAGCAGCAGGGTGACGTCATCATTTAACTAATTTCAGGTGCAGTGGTTATATACTCGATTGGTAATCAGTCAATGGTTGCGGTTGGTAATGAGTTGTAGATTGGTAATTAGTTGTAG